GCCCGCCTCCCTGCCCCCACCCCCGGCGCCGCCAGCCCACTCTTGGCCATGGAGTCCTCCATCAGCGACCTTGAACCCCGACGGAAAGCACCCCTGCCCTCTCTGGCGCCCCTCCCCCACTCCAGGACTCTCCCTCGCTGTTGCCCATGCCCGGAGCCGCGGAGATCAGCGTTAAACCCAAGCCCCTTGGTTGAAGTGTCAGGATCAGTGTTGGTACCAAATCCTCTGCACCCCTTCTCTCTCCCCTGGATTCCTGAGTCCCCTCTCCTCCCCCAGGGACAGATCCAAGGGCCCCAGCGCTCCCGGAGCCCTAGCGTGAAAGCCTAAGAACCCACCCCTACCCCCAAGGTGTCCAGAGCACGCGCTCCCGTTTGGCCCGGGCAAGGGGATGGGGGAGCTCAAGGACCCGGCAAAGCACCGTGCCCACGCCCAGAGGCTTCGGAACTGCGTGCTAAGGGGTGGGGGAGGGCGGGGCCCTGGAGAAGCAGGACCCGTGGACCCCAGGGCAGCGTGGAGGAGCCTCCAGATGGGCCTAGTAAGTCCCAACCCGGCCCTAGAGGCCCGCCCAATCCCTGGGCTGGCGAAACCGGGTGTCCACTCCCGACGCGAGGGCTCGCCGTGTTCTCCAGCGGGGGTCAGGGTTGGGAGTGTGGGAGAAGACTCCGACACTTTCCTAACCCAACCCCCCGTCTGGGCCTCCGGTTATAGAGGTGCTGCCTGCACCCTCTCACTGGCGCCCTTTGGCGATAACACGCAGTGGACACACTGAGCCGAGCCTGGTGTCCCGCAGGCCAAGTGGGGGACTCGAGCAGCGGCCCCTCGACAGAAGTCAGTGCAAGGCTGGGACTCCGCACCCAAGCGTTGGGGGGCATAACACTACTGAGCACTCAGCTAACACAATGCACCAAGGTCAGGGGGCCGTTGCAACCCAGAGTGTAGTCTGGCCTGGTCCTGCAACCCTTCCCCACCCACGGACGCCGGCTCTTGGCCCGACTGGATCCGCGCTCAGACAGCCAACGTCTGCGTTGAATCTCCCAGCAGAGGCGTTTGGCGGGCACTTACTGTCAGCCCTGCATTGATTCGTGTAGACACGCTCACAGGCACAGGCACACCCGATCGTGTGCAACCCCCAGGCCACAGCAGTCCAGGCACACAGGCATGCACACGCACGTGTCCACACGGCGCGGGCATGCTCACGCGCACACGGGGCGCACTGGTATCCAGGCGTGGCTGAGCGGCGCGCACACACGCACATGCAGACAGCTACTCGCTTCTGCTCGCGCTCCCCAGTCATCACACATAAACCGAACTCGAACTCGCCTTCCCGCCCACACGTTCCTCGCCGGTGCCGGCCGGAATTCGGGCGCCCTTAACTTTCCCACCATTAAACCCCGCGCGGAGGAGCCGAGGGCAGCTCCCGGGCGAGGCCCGCGAGGGGATCCCTGCCTGGGGCCCCTCTGTGCTCTGGGTCTTGTTGGAGTTGGGGGCGGTGGCTCCCCGCTCTAGGTCCGGAGCTGGCACCCAGGGGCCGACATCGCCATCTAGCGGTGCGTGCAACCCTGGGCGGGGCTGCTCGCCTCGCCAGATCCCAGGCGTCCTGGATCCTAGAGAAACGAGACGGAGAGTTTTGGTCAGGATGTCTGCGGAAGACTGAGGGGTTCAGAAAGACAACTGGGGCGGGGAGACACGGCGTTTCGCCCTGTCTGCAGCTGGAAGCTTCCCCAAGCGGGCCCAGCGCAAGACTAAACCGCCCGCCACCTCCCCGGAGACAAGATGTCCTCAAATGGAGACAGGAGATCTCTCTGGGAAAGCTAAGTGGGGGAGGCGGAGGGAATGGGTGGGGACCCTGCCCAAGCCTCCCCAACCCACTCCTATTTGTGTGGTTATAAAGGGGAGAGAGCAGAGGCAGGAAATTGCCGCTGAGGCAGAATTTGGGGTTGGCAATGAGGCTCCTGGGTTCTCAACCTGCCCCGCTGCCTACTGACACACTGGCTGACTTTAGGCAACTTGATTAACATGATCATCATCTGTAAGAAGACACATCTGTAAGATGAAGGACACTAACATTACCTGCCTTTTCAGGCCGCTGTAAGGATTAAACCAGATAATCTATAGAAAAAGCTCAGAGGGACTCCTGACTCATTGTTAACACTCAATAAACAAGAGCGATTATGTTTTTCCTGCTCAGCGCCTTGGGTCCCATTCTGATCTCGCTGGCCGTGTCCTGGTCCGGAGAGGCTAGCACCACGGTGTCCTTGGGGCTGGCTGACAGATCACTCCTGCCCACCTTGCTTGCCTGCGTGTGTCTGGGAGGGCAGCCTCTCCAAGCTGGTGCTTCCGCCCTCCCACCCAGCTCAGAGGGTGACACCTGAGCTTTTATTTCAGTCCCACCGAGGATTGTATCCACAGCACCGCACCGCACCGCACTGCTAGATGCTCTCAGAGCTGAAAGGGGCCATCGGACCCCGGGGAGGGGCCGTTATCTTGACTCATTTGTGACCTTGAGGGGGTGACACCACCCATCTCCGAGCCTCTCCCTGCAGTGGACCCAGGATTTGGCAGGCAAATTTAAACTGCCAGGCCAGGAGGCTGGGTCTGTGTCTGCGACGGTGGATTAGGGGGGCTTGAGGCCAGGCTTGGGGGTCACGGGGACTTGGCTCCCGCCTCCAGTGCATTTTCCTGCTGGAGATGGAGTTTAGTAGCTGCTCAGGTGGGAGGTTGTCCCGAGGAGTCCGCTCTAGCTTGCAGAGGAGAGAGGTGCAGGAAGGTGAGGCGGCCTGTCTAGGGCCACACAGCCCCGCTGGCCTTGAAGCCCGGCAGCAGCACGAGTGCTGGTCCCTTCTTCCTCCTCCCTCCACACCCGCTGCCTCTCCCCCCGGTTTCGCTCTCACACAGACGCACAGAACTGCGTATATGACAGTGACTGGTGGTGCTGTGATGGGCCCAGGCGTGTGTGTGTAATGGTGCGTGTTGGCAGGTGTGAAGGAGCTGGGCAGGGCGGCTGCCCTGGCACAGCGCACGGGGTGTGGGCCTCCCTCACACGTTTGGGAGAGGAAGAGGGGGAGGGGAGGTCAAGAGGAGCCTGGGAGGGAGGGCGCACAGGCTCAGGGCTGGGGCCTTATGCTGGGGGACCCAGCTGGTGTACTAGTGACCCAGGGCTGCCCTGAGGGGCAGGCCACAGGCCCCCCTGCAGCAGCTCCTCTCTTCCCTCTGGGACACTGTCACCCTTTGGGTTCTCCTAGAGGCCTTGGGGCTGACCCCGACGCCTGGGAAGCCAGGTGTGTCTTTCCTCACTGATGGCCCTTTGGGCATCTGATGGCTCCAGGGTCTCAGCCCCTGGTTGCTGACAGACTCCAACTACCCTGCACCTCGCCCCCATGCCCTGGGGCAGGGTGAGAGCTCTGGGAGAGAAACGTGCTCCCCTGAGCCTCTCTGCACAGCACCCTCCCCTCATCCTCAAGGCTCCCGGCTCCACGCCACCTCCTGGGTCCTCTGGGAGGCCTTCCCCCAGCTGGGATCACTGGTGAGTCTTTGGGCCTCCCTCGGCGAGACTCGTAGCTCTGGGACAGCAACATGATGTCAAGGAGCTGTGGAACCTTGGTGAGGTTAACACCTCGGTGCCTCAGTTTCCTCAACTATAAGCAGTGAAAAATAACAGTATTACCTCATAGGTTTGTTGTGAGGATGAAATGAGTTAATACTTATAAAAAGTATTGAGAGTGTCTGGCACTTAGTGGAGAGTAAATGTTAGCTGCTAAGGGATTGGAGAGCAGGTGCCCTGGTAGTTTGCTTAAGAAATGATCAAAAGGCTGCCCTGGCTGGTGTGGCTCCACTGGTGGAGAGCCGCCCCATGCACCAAGAGGGTACTGGTTTGATTCCCAGTCCGGGCTGCTGCTCAATCCCCAATAGGCAGTGTGCAGGAGGCAGCCAAAGGATGTTACTCTTCCCCTCCCTCTTCCTCTCTCACTAAAATCAATAAAAACATATTTAAAAAGAAATAAATGATCCAAGGGCTGAATGAGTATTTCTGACCAGAGCCACATGCTGACATGTGGGACCACTCATCCCTCTCCTCTCCTTCCTTGGGTCCCACCCACACTGGCCCTCGGTTCTTGTCTCACACATGCCTCAGGGCCATTGCCCTTGAGTAGGCCACTTTCTGAAGCTCATGTGGCTGCCTCCTTGTCATCACCTCCTCGGAGAGCTGATCACCCAGCAGGGGCAGCCCTGTCTGTCCCCCGATCCACTCCCTGTGCCATCACTCTGCCTTGCTTTCCTTCTAGCACTTCTTTGTTGTTGCTCACTGTTTGTATGTCTCTCCTGATCCGACGGTAAGCTCCGTGAGAGTGGGGGCTGAGTGTGTCTCACTCACTTCTGTAGCCGCAGCACCCAGTGCTCACTCAATAAATGATGCACACACAAATGAGGAGGTGATGGGTCAGTTCCCTAAAGTTCCGCAGGATGAGGTTCCTCTGGCCTCTCGACTTGTTACCCCACGTTCCCCTTCTAATCCACTTTGACAGCTCACCTTTTCTCTCTCTCCTTCCTCCTCCAGACACTGCTAACCAAAATGGCGAACTTCACACCCGTCAACGGCAGCTCAGGCAACCAGTCTGTGCGCCTGGTCACAGCAACCCATAACCGCTACGAGACAGTGGAGATGGTCTTCATCGCCACGGTGACGGGCTCGCTGAGCCTGGTGACTGTGGTGGGCAACATCCTGGTGATGCTGTCCATCAAGGTCAACAGGCAGCTGCAGACGGTCAACAACTACTTCCTCTTCAGCCTGGCGTGCGCCGACCTCATCATCGGCGCGTTCTCCATGAACCTCTACACCGTGTACATCATCAAGGGCTACTGGCCTCTGGGCGCCGTGGTCTGTGACCTGTGGCTGGCCCTGGACTACGTGGTGAGCAACGCCTCAGTCATGAACCTTCTCATTATCAGCTTTGACCGGTACTTCTGCGTCACCAAGCCCCTCACCTACCCGGCCCGGCGCACCACCAAGATGGCCGGCCTCATGATTGCTGCCGCCTGGGTCCTGTCCTTTGTGCTCTGGGCGCCTGCCATCTTGTTCTGGCAGTTTGTGGTGGGCAAGCGGACAGTGCCCGACAACCAGTGCTTCATCCAGTTCCTGTCCAACCCGGCGGTGACCTTCGGCACGGCCATCGCTGCCTTCTACCTGCCCGTGGTCATCATGACAGTGCTGTACATCCACATCTCCCTGGCCAGTCGCAGCCGAGTTCACAAGCACCGGCCGGAAGGCCCGAAGGAGAAGAAGGCCAAGCCGCTGGCCTTCCTCAAGAGCCCCCTGATGAAGCAGAGCGTCAAGAAAGCCCCGCCAGCGGCGGCCCGAGAGGAGCTGCGCAACGGGAAGCTGGAGGAGGCTCCTCCGCCCGTCCTGCCGCCCCCGCCACGCCCGGTGGCCGACAAGGACACTTCCAACGACTCCAGCTCAGGCAGTGCCACCCAGAATACCAAGGAACAGCCACCCACAGAGCTGTCCACCACGGAGGTCACCACGCCTGCCACGCCTACCCCTCGCCTACAGCCCCGGGCCCTCAACCCAGCCTCAAAATGGTCCAAGATCCAGATTGTGACGAAGCAGACAGGCAATGAGTGTGTGACAGCCATCGAGATTGTGCCTGCCACGCCAGCTGGCATGCGTCCAGCGACCAACGTGGCCCGCAAATTTGCCAGCATCGCCCGCAACCAGGTGCGCAAGAAGCGGCAGATGGCAGCCCGGGAGCGCAAGGTGACTCGGACCATCTTTGCCATTCTGTTGGCCTTCATTCTCACCTGGACGCCCTACAACGTTATGGTCCTGGTGAACACCTTCTGCAATAGCTGCATCCCTGAGACGGTGTGGTCCATTGGCTACTGGCTCTGCTATGTCAACAGCACCATCAACCCTGCCTGCTATGCCCTCTGCAATGCCACCTTTAAAAAGACCTTCAGGCACCTGCTGCTATGCCAGTATCGGAACATCGGCACTGCCAGGTAGACAGGCAGGGGCGTCAGAGGAGGTCCTGGCGGTCGCATGTGTGAGCTGGGGGACCACAGGGCTCAGCTGCTGTGGGGGCAGGATTTGGAGGCACCTCTCGTGTTCACAGTCGCTGAAGAGGACTGATGTCCCAGACCCTGTGAGGCTCAGGAAGAAGCTCTGGCTGGATTCAGAGAGACCAGCTCTTTGCTCAGAGGAGGGTCAGCCCTAGGAAGGGTCTGAACCAGGACTGCCTGACCCCTCTCTCTTGTCCTGCCTCAGGGAGCTGGGGGCACTGGCCTCCGTGGGCACCTGCCCTATGACTAACCAGCGGGGCTGGAAGAATGGACATCTGGAGGGGAGCAGAAGCCAGGACCCCCTTGGGAGGAGCAGAGGCCAAAGCTTAGGAAAGGAGACTCGGGAAGGAGTAGGGTTCCCCATTCTGTTGTAATCGGTGCTTTCTGCCCCCCTGCACCCCGCATGAAGGCTCAGCCCCCTCTCCCAAACCCCACTCCTTGCTGCAGCTACTCAGCCAGGTACTGGTTGGATGGTGGGCTGGCTGGAGGCCAGGCAGAGTGGGCTCCGGGCCACCCCCTTCTGCAGCACAGCCCTGGCCAGTCAGGATGGGCCAGCACGTCTTCCATTCACTCAGGAGCTGAGGCCTGGCCTCCCATGGTCCCAGCCTGAGCAGGGCACAGTCCACCTGATTCTGAAGAGCCCTCCCCTCCCCAAGTAGAGGGCTCGTTCCAGGTCACACCTAGTGAAGGAGGGGATGTGACCGAGTGAAGGTGGGGCTGTGGTGGGCAGTGTTCCCTTGGCCTCTGCAGAGGGAGGCCTGGGTCACCAGAGACAGAAGAGATGGACTTTACCCAGAGATTTCAGTGCCAGTGAAGGTGGGGTTTAAGGCTGGCAAGCAACCCTTATCTTTACTCTCCCAACCCATAGAACCTTCCGGATTGGCAGTGGCCGGACCCAAGGACCTTTGCCTGGGAGTGTCAGCCCTAGTCTTGTGGGTTCCTGCCCCAGCTGTGGTGTGGCCCCGGACAAGGACTGAAAGGCTCAGAGGACTCGGGGCAGTGGGGGGCCCTGGAAGAAATTTCAAAACTGGTCTGCTTTTTCTATGAGCTCCGGGGAGCACCGAGCCCCCAAGAAAACCACCTTTCCCTCCACACTCTCCCCCTCCCAACAAATTACCACAGCAAAATCCCCAGGAAGGGGCTTTTATATATTAAAAAAAAAAAGCTTTTATTGGGAGAAAATGAGTTTTATTTGTTTTTTAGCAATGGCATCATGGTGGGTAAGAACAACAGGGGCATGGGAGTCAAATTCCTTTGGGGGAGGCTCCAGCTGCCAGAATCCCTTGTCCCTCCCCACTGTGGGCACTTGAGGGGTGGGGGAGGGCGGGGCATGATTGATAAAGCTGAAGAGTCACAAAAGGCACTGGTGGGTTATACTGGGGCCGGGGAGGGAGCACGCGGGCCAGGGGCTCTTTGGATTCAGGCCTGGCTTCTAGTCCTTTCCCTTCCCTTTCTTGGCTGTAAAACAAGAAAGAAATACGGTGTTAGGAGAATTCAGGTGATCCCTCTACTCCTCGGGGAGAAGGAAACTCTGCCCCCTAGTGGTTCTCAGTCAGGGGACCTGAGAGCCGGTGGGACAGGGCAGCCATTACGCCGCTGGACCTCTCCCCCTCTCCAACTTCAACTTTCACCGGGGATCAGATCACCTTCAAGTCCCAGTCCCGCCACCCTGGGCAACAGCCTCGCCTCCTCACCCGAGGGCGGCCCACTCACCTCTGCCCCGTGGCCTCTCTGGGCTGCTGGGACTCAGGGATCAGATAAGGACAGAGGACGCACGAACAGCGAAGCCCCTCCCCACTCAAAGGGCACAGCTGACCAGATGCTCCACTGGCCGGACAGGGGACAAAGCCCTTCCAGGATGCGCCCTGGACCCTAAGCCAGACGCTCCGAAGGAGCAGCGTGACCGCCCTCACTGGGGCCAGAAGGAATTCATGTCACCTGAGCACCGGGGTACATGCCCCCCTAAGGCGTCTCTACAGAGAAACTCACTCACCAGGGCCCCACACCTCAGGCTTAACCATGCCCCTCACAGGTGGGGGCAGCCCCCCACCCCCCACAGCTGACCTTTGGCCTTGGCTTTGGTCTTGGGAGCACAGGGCTTGGTGACGCGGATGGTCTCCTGGCACTGGGCGTTGTACCGCGCCTTCTTCAGGGTGCCCTGGCGGGCTTTGGTGCCCGAGCTCCCATCGCAGGACCCCCAGCTCTCAAACTTGTACTTGCAGTCGGCTGGCAGGAGAGCGCCCGGGGTCAGAGCGGGGGCAGGGCCCCCAGGTCCACTCCGCGCATTCGCTCCCCGGGCCGCCCTTCTTCACTTTGTCTAAAACGCACGGGGAACAGCGCTCAGGACCCGGGGCACCCGTTCCAGGGGTCCCGGCCTCGGAGCCCAGGAGGC